TCTTTGCTGGCACATACGCAAAGCCATGGTCTTCATTGGTCTTCCTTGTCCCTGCTCCTGGGCCATCATTGGTACTTGGTAATGCTTATCAAATTGAAGGGATTGCAATCAAAGGGCAACAGATATTAGAATCTGATTCAATAAACCAAGTAAAATTACGCTTTTATTTTTTTGTTGTTGTTGTTGTTAATGCTCACGCAAAATTCAAATCTTGCGTGAATTTTGGGACACGCTTTACAAACAGCCCCACAGACAAGCCCGGGAGGATGTATATCCTCATGTTAACAGGCATTATCTCCGGTGGAAGACTGAAAACAGCGGCCTGGGATCTGAAATCAGGGACGAACAACATTAAAAAAAAAAAAAAAAAGCAAGACCTAGTCAGTTTTGCCCAATGGTTAGAGCGTTGGCTCGAGGACTGAAGGGTAACGGGTTCAATTCCAGTCAAGAGCACGTATTTCTGTTGCAGGCCTGGTTAGTCCAAACACGCACCCCGTTCCCCCCGCCACATCCCACCCCTGCCCACCCCGCTGTGTTGGCTTCTCCCTGTGGGAGGCCCAGGGCCTGGGCAGTAGGCCCAGTGGTTGCCTGGGGCCCGGGGAGGGGACCCATTTCTGAGGCAGGGCTGTGGCGAGCCCAGGCTGCAGCTCCAGGCCTTCCCTGGGCTTCCTCCCTCGGCCAGAAGCTCGGAGCCTCAGCTCTCCGGAGCGGTACAAAGATGACGCCTCAATGCCTCAACCCGTGAGTCCAGTTTGGGGTTGGGGAATGCGGACGCTGGGCTGGGAACTGCTGGTCACCAGCCTCCTGGAAGGAGGAGAGTGGGGGAGCCCCTGGGAGAGCCTCGCCCCCAGAGGCCAGACAGGGAGGCCCGTGCCCACCCAAGCCCCAGGTCCCTGCATCCCCATTCCATGCCCCAGCGTTTGGTTCCCAGTGGTTTCCTGGGAAACCAGTTAACACAACCCAGATGGGCGGTATTTTTAGCAAGGCATCCTCCCTCCCCTCGCCCCCACCCCTTTCTCTTCCAGTCTTTCTGAGGGCTGCTCCCTCAGCCAGCCATCTGGTGGGGGGCTAGCAGAAGGGTCCCGCCCTGGAAAACACTGACCCCATTAGGACTTTTTAGCCGCCAGCCTCCCCTAGCACCCAGTTCCATTATCTGCCGGCTGCACTGGGGTGCCCCTGTCCTCACCCAGGGGTGTCTGAAACCACCCAGAAGACCATGCCCCCAAGGACGGTGCTATGTTTAGGGCTGAGAGGGCCGTGCAGGGACAGACGGCCAGCGATGGAGGGCGGAGGGGAAGAGGGCTGGAGAGAAACCTCAGAATCCAGAGAAGTGGGAATGGCTCTGCCCATGGAAAACAGGCAGCCGGGGCCCAGCAGGTGGGGATGTGGGGTTCCGGGTACCTGGGGCTCACGGGAACAGAGGCCAGGGCAGATTTTCCCACAGGGGGGAGGGCCAGAGAAGTTTCTCCCTAGGAAAGTTAAGATTTAAAGAGTCACTATGGCCTGCCGGCCCCACGTGGCTCAGTGGTTGAGCGTCAACCTATGAACCAGGAGGTCACGGTTTGATTCCCGGGCAGTAGGCCCAGTGGTTGCCTGGGGCCCGGGGAGGGGACCCATTTCTGAGGCAGGGCTGTGGCGAGCCCAGGCTGCAGCTCCAGGCCTTTCCTGAGCTCCAAGCTTTCGGGCTTGATCCCCCTCGGGGTGTAGAGGAGGGAGCTGATCCATGATTATCTCTCATCATTGCTGTTTCAATCTCTCTCTCCCTCTCCCTTCCTCTCTGAAATCAGTAAGAATATGTTTAAAAAGAAAAAATATATGAGTATACTAATATACACACTTCTCTATCTATCCATTTGTATGTATCATAAAATCTGGAATTTATACTGATACTTTTTTTTGCAGATTGATAACTTTATTTGACAATCAGCAGTCAGTTCTCAGCCACGTGAACTGTGTAGAGTTTTGGAAGTGGTGGCAGGTACATCGGTGACCAACATACAGAGCTGGTTCGGGGAATCTCCATCCTCATCTCGTTTTCTGGACAACGGCACCTGGATGCCGAACGGGACCGTTCTTATTCCTTTGGCCCCGGCAGCTTTGTTGAGTCCGGTGTCAGAGCGCCCGCCTGGGGTTCCCATCTCCTTGAGGGCAAATCCGGGTTCTCGGGGTCCCGCTGGGCACACTTCCTGGCCCCCAATCCCGGATGCCCGTGTGCGTGGAGATGGCGTGTCCTGTGCTCGCCGCCTCGCGGACGGCACAACAGCCCATCTTGCTCTCGCCAGGCCGCCTTGCGGGAGCCTCTGCCGGGCCCGGGTTGGAAAGCAACGAGCCGTCCTGATACCTTTTGATCCATTCCACACCACACCGTGCAGTCGAACTTCCCTCTTTCCTCACTTGTGATTTTTTCTCCCAGGATGAGAAGCGTGGCTCTGTCTCCGTGATACTTTTGCTGATTTGTTCATCCCGTGTAGACACACAGTCATTTCAGACTGTTACTCACAGAATGACGGATTCAGAACTTTTTGGGACTCTACTTTTTTTTTGTACTTGACCCTTTCAGACTTAGACCCAGATTTTATTTATACTTTTATTTTTTAAAATATATTTTATTGATTTTTTTACAGAGAGGAAGGGAGAGGGATAGAGAGCCAGAAACATCGATGAGAGAAAAACATCGATCAGCTGCCTCATGCACACCCCCTACTGGGGATGTGCCCGCAACCACGGTACATGCCCTTGATGGGAATCGAACCTGAGACCCTTGAGTCCGCAGACTGGCGCTCTATCCACTGAGCCAAACTAGTTAGGGCTAGACCCAGATTTTAAAAAGCATTTATCACTCTTGTGAATTCTTTAAAAGGAAAATATAAGTGAAGTAAGTGGTTTAAGGTATCCTAAAGCCTCCTCACACGGGGGTGGGGGTGGGGGTGGGGGGGCGTCTGAATCCCTCTGTCTGGAGGTCGCTGCTGCCTGTGTTTTTCCACGCAATCCGGCTCCTCTGACACCAAGACCTTTGGCTGTGAAGCATTTCCCGAGAGTGCGCCCCTACTGTGCACTTCTTCAGGATTCCCATGGAGTGGCTTCTTCAGAACCCCAGCACTGGCCACTTCCCCCTACACATCTGCTACTTTTCTGTTTTTAAAAAATAAAACTTGGTCCTAAGTGATTTGGCTCGGTGGATAGAGCATTAGCCTGCGGACTGAAGGGTCCCAGGTTCAATTCTGGTCAAGGGTATGTACCTTGGTTGCGGGCACATCCCCAGTAGGGGATGTGTAGGAGGCAGCTGATCGATGTTTCTCTCTCATTGATGTTTCTAACTCTCTATCCCTCTCCCTTCCTCTCTGTAAAAAAAATCAATAAAATATATTTAAATAAAAAAATAAAACTTGAATTTCATGTAATACACGCTCACTGGAAAAATCAGAAAAACAGAAAAGCAAAAAGAAGTGAAAAGCACATAGAATCCTTTGAACCAGAGAAAACCACTGTTAACTTTTTTTTTATTATCTCCTTTGACTCTTTTCCCAGTGCTAATCTATACACTGAAAAAGATGAAAAACAAAACACGTTTTTAAAAAATATATACATATTATTGGTTTTTACAGAAAGGAAGGGAGAGGGATAGAGAGTTAGAAACATCGATCAGCTGCCTTCTGCACACCCCCTACTGGAGATCAAGCCTGCAACCAAGGCACATGCCCTTGATGGGAATTGAACTCGGGACCCTTCAGTTTGTGGGCCAAAACTCTATCCACTGAACCAAACCGGTTATGGCAACAAGACACTGTTTGGAAACATCATTTAGACCCTGGTTCACATTCCAGCCGCTGCTTGCCATCTGTGTGACTTTTAGCCAGTTGCTGAACCTCTCTGTGCCTGACTTTCCTTATCTGTAAAAGGAGGAAATGATAGCGCACCCCTCACAGGTGGTTATGATGGTGAGTGACTATACAGAAAGCGCTCCGGACTGTGCCTGGCACATGGCAGATGCCATGTAAGCGCGAGCTGTCACCACCATCATTACGACATTATTATTACATAAGGGGACATCTGTTCAGGTGAATAAATAACTTTGGCAGCAAAATTCGCAGCTGCCTGGGGTTCCCTGATGTGAATGCATGGGAATCTACAGGGTGTCCCAAAAAACGTATACACACTGTAACAGCTGCTAGGTCAATCTTGAAAAGGAAATGTGCTTTAATAAACACTGCCTTTATAATTGTTCAGAGTGTGTGTATACATTTGGGGGGGACACCCTATATTTAACCTCCTCTAGGAGGTCATTATTTCCAGTTTTTCTTTTTCTTCTATTAACTACAGGATAACCATTCTTGAACAAATACCCCCCCCCTCTATATATATACCTCTAAAAATATATAAACACCTTAATATGTATCTTTTATTGATTTCAGAGAGGAAGGGAAAGGGAGAGAGATAGAAATATCAATGATGAGAGAGAATCATTGATCAGTTGCCTCCTGCTCGTCCCCTACTGGGAATGGTGTCCACAACCCGGGCATGTGCCCTGACCGGGAATCGAACCGTGACCTCCTGGTTCATAGCCCGACCCTCAACCACTTTATTTGTTCCTAAATATCTAACTGCTGAGACACAGACCACACATTTTTAAAGAGGGGAGACGAAGCCCGAGAGGTGCCCCCCGACCCCGGGGCTCAGCCCCAGCCAGGTGTGTCACCTGTGCTATCTCAGTGAGCCACTCCACCTCTCCGAGGGAGGGCTCAGCAGTTCCACGGCGAAGACGAGAAAACTGAAGTCATAGAGGTGAAGCCGCCTGTCTGAAACCACACAGGTGGCCAGCGGTGGGCTGGGGCTTGAACCCAGATCTGTGGGAGGGGGACGGGGACAGGAGGGAGCGGAAGCGGGGAGGGTCGGGGGGAGGGGAAGCTGCAAAAACCACAGAGCGGACTGAGGAGATGCCCCGTCTCCCAGGGCAACTGCGGTCAATGACAGGGGTGGCTTATCCTCTCTGCGCCCCCTTTTCCTCATCTGTAAAAAGGAGGAAATAATATACACACCGCGCAGGTTGTTATGAGGGTGTAGAGCAGTGGTTCTCAACCTTCCTAATGCTGCGACCCTTTCATACAGTTCCTCATGTTGCGGTGACCCCCAACCATAAAATTATTTTCGTTGCTACTTCATCAGTGTAATGTTGCTACTGTGATGAATCATAATGTAAATATCTGATATGCAGGATGTATTTTCATTGTTACAAATTGAACATCATTAAAGCATAGTGATTAATCACGAAAACAACATGTAATTATATATGTGTTTTCCACTGGTCTTAGGAGACCCCTGTGAAAGGGTCATTTGCCCCCCAAAGGGGTCGCGACCCACAGGTTGAGAACCGCTGGCATAGAGTCTGCTGGAACCTGCCTGACGGGGGGAGGAAGGGCCCTGAGCCCTGTACCCAGAAGATGAGGGTCCCCACATTCAAGGGGACCCCAAAGCCTGGCGCTCCACTGGAGCCCTGCACAGCCTCCTGAGAGCACCCCCAGCCCCCAGCCCTCTGCGGCTGGGAGAGCAGGAGGGGCGCCCAGGAGTTCAGTCCCGCATGCAAGGCTCCCCAAACCCATGCGGTTGGAAACACTTCCCCTCGGGGATTATTAGCAAGTTGGGCAGTCAGGGCTGCAACCCCCCACACCCTTACTGCCCCCCGCAAGCGCTTTTAAAAATATTTTTATTGATTTCAGAGAGGAAGGGAGAGGGCGAGGGAGAGAGAAACATCAATGATGACAGAATCATTGATCGACTGCCTCCTGCACGCCCCCTCCTGGGAATCTAACCCAGACCTGCTGGTTTGGTTCATGGGTCGATGCTCAACCACTGAGCCATGCTGGCCGGGCCTGGCCGCTCCCTGCGAAACCAGGTGGGCAGGCCTGCCTCAGGGGAGCTCCACACGGAAAAGCGGGCAAGGGGCTGGAGGGGGTGCCGCCCCGTCGCTAACTGGGCTCAGATGGGGCACCTCTGAGGACCTGGCGGAGTTTCCAGAACAGCCCCCCAGCGCCCCCTGCCTGTGAGCCGGCCCGGGACA